AATTATAAATGGAGAGTAACCTTTAAAAATCGTGAATCACTTGTTGTACACTTGTAACAATCAAATATTGTAGACTTGTAACTTATATAATATAAATCAACTATACTTCAGTAATAAAAGGAGAAAAAAATACCAGTTAAGTCCTCAGGTTAGTTCATATCAATGAGAAAGATTTTTGAATTATTAGATTATTATTATTAGATTAGTAGATGAAGAAAAGAACATAACCAAGTGAATTGAACGCACTAGCTGAAATCTTCCTAGGTGTGGCTTTACTGGGTGATTGAGAGAAAGTTAAAAACACTAATGCAGCATAGAGTAGGATTAGGTAATTTGAAAAAGATGGAAAGGGGCTTCCCTAGTGGCGCAGTGGTTGAGAGTCCGCCTGCTGATGCAGGGGACATGGGTTCGTGCCCCGGTCTGGGAAGATCCCACATGCCGCGGAGTGGCTGGGCCCATGAGCCATGGCTGCTGAGCCTGTGCGTCCGGAGCCTGTGCTCCGCAACGGGAGAGGCCACAGCAGTGAGAGGCCCGCGTACCGCAAAAAAAAAAAGAAAGAAAAAGATGGAAAGAACGGAGCGCAGCCGGACATGGTTTTATCCAGCCTCTAAGATACAGGATTGGTTGTGATCCATGGGCTTCAGCCAAGAGGAAAATGGTTGTGTCACTGTTGTGATTTCAAGAATAAAATCTCAGGCATCTGTATTTATAGCCTGTGATGTTTTATAGTTGTAAGCTGCCAACAATGTGAGTTCTACTCAAAAGTACAGATGGTTAAAATCACATGCACAGAAAGTGTCGTCTTCTTGTTGCAGATTCTCCGTACGGGCTTCCTCATGTTCACTTTCTGTTATATTTTCCATCTCTTGACAAAGGCTCCTGCTCTTTCATTTGATCATTTATGTAAAGTTTTATGCCAAACTTGCATTAAATTCTTTTTCATGTGCTGTATTTGTTCTGATAATTTCCTTCTCACTCTGTATCAATTTTTGAGTTCTGATCTATCTTATTAAATAGATATAACATAAGAGGGTCATGGAACTTTTGAAATTTACCTAATGTGGCCTGTATAAGGTAAAGAAAACTGAAAGAAATAACTAACTATACCTATTAATAGTCTTCATTCAAAGTACAATTAGATTAGATTAACCGTGATAGTTTTATATGTACTATATAGTGTTTTATTTGAGTGGAAACACTCCTTTTTTAGAATGATGTCCTAGATTAACTATATCAACAATGAGTATATGACATGTACGTTTACAAGGCACAGTTGTAGGTGCAATGTCATTGTTTAGTTGTTAGACAGAATTCTTTAATTTTAATCAATATTTAAAAGTCATATTAATAATTAAAAATCAAAATAGACTGAGGACTAGAAATAGCTCAAGACATTTTTAATGTGTACTAAGTTATTGTATGTTTTTCTTTTATGTTGTCCAACAAGAAATCGTATGATTCCAAGGTATAATAGTTTTTAAATTAGTGGCAGTTTAAACTGTGACGGTATAATGAGAGTGTCCCAGAAATTTGCATTTTCATACTGAACAAAGAATGCTTAATGTTTTATAGGGAATAAAATAATATAGTTTATCTTAATTTTTGATACTACTTAGAAATTAAGAGAAAATATAGTTGAGCTAATCATTGCTTGCCAGAAAGTATTTTGCTTAGACTGGAGGAAATGGGAGATTTGTGTTGCAAATACATGTGTTTAATGTCTTGACCATTTTATCGGATTGCCCAAAGTTCATTTGGGTTTTTCCGTAAGATCTTTTTGGCCAACCCAACATCATGCTATGTCTGTTAGGGAATATTTTATCAATATATGTATTCATATTCTTTATTTTAAACTTCATGTTTGTTTGAAATCTCAAATAAAAGTTTTACACAGATATACTTTGTATTTTTTTAATAAATTTATTTTACTTATTTATTTTTGGGTGCGTTGGGTCTTCGTTGCGGTGCAGGGGCTTCTCATTGTGGTGGCTTCTCTTGTTGTGGAGCTCGGGCTCCAAGCGCGTGGGCTTCAGTAGTTGTGGCTCGCGGGCTGTAGAGCGCAGGCTCAGTAGTTGTGGTGCACAGGTTCAGTGGCTCCGCGGCATGTGGGATCTTCCCGGACCAGGGCTCGAACCCACGTCCCCTGCACTGGCAGGAGGATTCTTAACCATTGCCCCACCAGGGAAGCCCTATACTTTGTATTTTTAAAGGAAGAAAATATGTATCTATCTATATCTGTCTATATGCAATATGTATATACACATATATCTTTATATACATATTTCATTGGATTCATTGATTGTCAAAATGAACCCATTTATTTAGGTTATTGACGAAATATGCCTAAGATTTAACATATTCGTAAAACTAAGTTCTATTCATACACCACGTATTAGCTCTAGTTTACCTACGTTTGTCTACAAAAGACTGGCTCAAATCTACGTTTCATGTCCAGTGAAAAGCCCAGGGTCCTCCCAGATACTTTTTAAGATTCCAAATGCACATTCCTCTGGTCACCCTGGCTTTATTCTTTTACATGCACTGGAATTTTATTTTCAGCTTGCTGTGTTTCCTGGATTCTCTCTCTCAACTTTGACCTGTACCCAAACTGGACACTCGGCCTTTTCCTTATCTATACCAACTCCCTCTCTGGCCTCCCCCCCATAATAAATCACGACAAAATATCACTAAGCATCACCAATAGAGATCACCAATAGCTGTATTATTTAAACTAGAGACAAGGTGTCAACAACACAATGCCTATCAACTAGTGAATGGACAAGTAAATGTAGAATAGCCATGCAATGGAATATTATTCAGCAACATAAAAGAATGAAGTAAGGATGCAGCTATAACATGGTTGGACCTTGAAAACATTGTTCTAAATGAAGGAAACCACTCAGAAAAGACCACATATTATATGATTCCATTTGTATGAAATCTATAGAGACAGAAAATCGATTAGCGAGTGCCCAGTGTAGGTGGTTGTCGTAGGTTGGGAGAATAAGGGTGATAGCTAAAGGGTATGGCTATTTTTTTGAGGTGATAATACTATTCTAAAATTGATTAATAGTTTTACAAATACTGAAAAACAATTGAATTAATTTTTATTAAAATATAATTAACTTAAAATATTATATTCGTTTCAGGTGTACAACATAGTGCTTCAGTATTTCTGTACATTATAAAATGAGCACTTCAGTAAGTCTAGTTACCATATGTCACTGTACAAAGTTATTACAATACTGTCGAGTCTATTCCCTGTAAGGTTCCTTACATCCTGTGCCTTATTTACTTTGTAACTAGAGGTGTGTACCTCATTTCATGTTCTCCAGTCATCCCCCCACACCCCCTCCCCTCTGGCAACCACCAGCTTATTCTCTGTATCTATAAGCCTATTTCTGTTTTCTTATGTTTGTTCATTTGTTTTGTTTTTTAGATTCCACGTATAAGTGTAATCATACAGTGTTTGTCTTTCTCCATCTGACTTATTTCACTGAGCACAATAACCCTCCAGGTCCATCCATGTTGCTGCAAATGGCATTATTTCATTCTTTTTTATGGCTGAGTAATATTCCATTATATATATGTACCACATCTTCTTTATCCATTCATCTGTCAGTGGACACTTAGGTTGCTTCCACGTCTTGGCTATTGTAAATACTGCTGCAGTGAACATAGGGTGGCATAGATCTATTCAAATGTGTGTTTTTGTTTTCTTTGGATAAATACCCAGGAGTGGGATTGCTGGATCATACGGTAGTTCTATTTTTAGTTTTTTGAGAAACCTCCATACTGTTTTCCACAGTGGCTGCACCACTTTACATTCCCACCAACAGGGCACAAGGGTTCCCTTTTCTCTACATGCTCTACCAGTACTTGTTTTTTATTGTGTTTTGGATAACAGCCATTCTGACAGGGGTGAGGTGATTTCTCATTGTGGTTTTGATTTACGCTTCCCTCATGATTATCGATGCTGAGCATCTTTTCATGTGCCTGTTGACATCTGTATGTCTTCTTTGGAAAATGTCTGTTCAGGTCTTCTGCCCAACTTTTAATTGGGTTGTTTGTTTTTTGATGCTGAGTTGAATGACGACCCCTGGGCTAGGGAGCCCTTTGAGGGGCTCAGATCCCTTGCTTCTTGGGGAGAACCTCTGCAATTTTGATTATCTTCCCGTTTGTGGGGTTCCAACACAGGGGTATGGGTCTTGACTATGCTGCAGATTTTAAAATTTAAAAGAATGTATCATATAGTAAACCAAATCTTAACCAAAATTTAAACTTTAAAAGAATAAATCATATAGTATGTGAGTTATATTGCAGTATAACTGATAATAATAATAAAAAAAAAACCCACAGCAACAAATAACACAGTTTTGTGTTGGCAGCCACCAAGATAGAGGTTTTTTTCTGGAGATACAGTAGTTCAGATGTCAGGCTCAAACAGTTTAAAAATGAAAATACATCTCATTTCCTACCATGATGCCCTCAGGCAGCCCCGCATACAGCTGTAGACTTTTCTTGGAGATCCCAAGACTGTAATGTCGACTGACACCCTTTTGGGTTTCAGCCTTTTTTTCTACCCACCTGCATCCATCCAGGAAAAGCGGAAGTATAATTTCTAATTCTTCACTGATACAAATATTGCAGCAACACACCCTACCTTCATTTCTCCACCTTGAATGCTTAGAAGGCGGTAGCAACTACAGAGAGTTTGGGTCGTAAAGTTTCTGTTTTGATCACGCATAGTCTGATCACAGGGGTTTGTGCATTTCAGCTTCTGAGCAGAATGGATGAGACTAAACTACAAATCTCTGTTGACTCTGTGTTACGTGAGTGGAAGCAAAAGTACCTCTTAATAGAGGAAAAACGTGAACAGAATACACAGCTGAACGCTCTGTAAATTCCCTGATCAAATTGTGTTGGATGAGATTAGAACCTCCATTGTACAGAAACTTGTTTTAATGTTTTCTGTGCAATCTCTTGCTTTTTTTTTTTAGCTCTAGACCCGACTAAAGACCCGTGCTTAAGGCTGAAATGTAGTCGCCACGAAGTGTGCATTGTTCAAGGTTCTCAGACCGCAGTCTGCGTTGGTCAGCGGAGGCTCACGCACAGGTAACCTCGTAAACTCAGTCCCACTGACTGAATGGTTTTGTACCAGGAGTTACTGCAGAGCATAAATGTTTGGCAACGTCTGCTAAGCTTTTATCCAGAGTTTATTGAAACAGTTGTAAAACCTTGGCTAATACAATCATGATTCACTTGGGTTAAACATTATTGTCAGTCAGAATTACTCTAGATTATAGAATTTAGGCATATACTGTTAGAAAAAGAGGGTTTTGTGAAGATTGCATTAGAGGGCTATATCTGCATACTTATACTTTTTTCAAGTTTAAGGAAAGTACAGTTTGGGTATCTTCTGAGTATTTCTGCATACGCCAACCCAAAAAGTCCTATATCCCTCAGGGGAGAGTTAGGAACAAAGTTAATAGGAAAAAAGAGTGAATGATTGATGTTTATTAAAAATAAAAGATGAAAAGTCACAAATAGAGGTCTGGGTCTTCAAGGAATCAGTGGTACTGCTGAAGCCCTGGGGTCTGTTCCCTGAAGGCTGACACAAAATCCCAAGAGGAGAAGAGAGTGTTTAAATATCTTATGTCAAGATCAGCACTGCTTCTGTCGGGTAGGTTGCATGTGGAGAGGTGCCAGTAATTTAGAAACAGGATGTGGACTTTGGTGCTGAGTCAGGATGGGAACATGGCGCAACCCACAAAGTGCAATCACGGGGTAGCTGACCGAGGCGGCAGGTGTGCCCACTCCCTCTGTTACTCTAAAAGGAACTGTCTTTACGAGAACGCTCTCTTCTGTGACAGTGGCTGTGATTCATGTTTTGTTTTTACATCAAATGAGCAAGAGAATTTCGCTATTTCAGGGGTGTTCAGAGACGAATTGGTTTCTGACTTTAGTGTAGTGGCATCTAAATTGTGTTAGTCAGACATACCAGCGGACCCAGAATAAGAACATCAGAGAGTGATAACGTAAGTAGCAGTTCTAGGAAACAGCCAGCATTTAAGTTTCTTTGATGTTCCTTATTTACAGGAAAGCACTTACACATTGAGCCCCTTATTCCGTGCTGAGCAGATTAGCGGGGGTCTTCATTCCCCTTGCCCAGGCGGTGATGACTGAACCCAAATACAGGGGCAGGTCAGGGTAGCCGAGATAAGAGTTTTGGGAATGAGTTCACTCGGGACAAAGAATCGTGTCATATCAGTAACTTCCTCGTGGAAGTAATAGAGGGATGGGGGGAAGAGAAGCACAGCATGGGGTGGGGGGGAAAAAGAGAAGCACAGCATGGGGCCGGGAAGTGTAGGAGCCTCCCAGGAAAGAGCATTTCCTGAAATCAGCGCACTCTGGGCGCTGGGGAGTTACAGGGGGGTGAAGCATTTATCAGGTATTTACCCCCAGGCAATCATGACCTCTCTGTCAGTTTTATAGGAGGACAGCAACACTTTGGGCCAGAAGTTTATTTTTCTCCATATTTCCTTAGAATTCCAAACAGTTTCTGAATTTCTTGGAGTTCCTATTAATTAGTCATCAAACATTTAAAATATTAGTATGTAAACATACATGTAGGGGTGTGGGAGAGGCGATTTCTACTTGAGAAGTCAGGAGGATGGTGTGGAAATGAATCCCTAAGTTGCAGAGAGTTCATCGCTTCATTTCATAGAAAAGCAAAACTGTTTCATTGCACATTTCCGAGACCCCGGGGAGGTTTCCATGCACCCACATTTAACACCTTGGGAAAGGCTCTTTTGCCATCTCACCCCAGCTCCCTGAACCCTAGGAGGAGAGCAAGTGAAGACTTCCCAGTTAATAGCATGTCTGGGGCAGAGATGGTCTCCTGACGACCGCTGACCAATGAGCTCGGAGACGCTGAAGTAACTGATGTCACAGAGCCAGGGAGCTTCAGAGCATCCACTCCTGTTTACCGACACCTGTGTCAGTGCCTTTTACCAATGTGCATCTCACTGCTTCTCTGACTTACTGTAAACAGACTTAACTACAGACAAAAAGAAACTTCCTTAACCTGGTAAGGACTCTCAGAGGCCAAGAGCTAAATTTGAGTGTAGGCAGATGAAGCAGCCTGCATCAGGACCACGGCCAGCTCTGCCTGGGCTGCGTGAGCGCTGAGCTTGGAGGAGGTGGGCATCGGAGTGTTTTTGTAAATAGTGTTTAGTCCACTTCTGTTTCCGGTAGAGACTTTAAAAATTGCACATAGTACACACTATATTCAATAAATAAAAAACTAGTTTCCGAAGAAATGAACTTAATATTTGACGTGCTTTGAGGATGTCGGCACACAGGGAATGTTTATACAGCACTTAGGGAAGGAGGGCTGCCATGCAATGTGATCAGTTATGTAAATAATCGACTAATGTAAGTAACGTAGAGCTTACGTTGGGGGATTGTGTGTGTTTCGGGGGGTGAGGCATGGAAACAGAGAAAAGGAGCTTAATTAATCAATTTCGGCCATTTACACTGCTTAGGTTAGAAATTCCTGCTGTTTTTCATTTATAGGAACAACTTATTGTTTCTTTCCTCGATCTCATGTAAGAGAAGAATGAATCCTTGCCTTATTCCAAAGAGTTCTTCCTAAGCTTTCCGCCTCCGCCCCCCCACACCCGCCCCCACCAACTAGATAGCACACGCTTGTCCCTGTTACCTTAGTGCCCTGGACTTCTCATCCTGTGACACCTACCATGCTGGTGATGAATCATCTAACACCGTCTCCTCAACTGACTGGGTATTTCCTGAAAGTGGGTTTGTGTCTTATTCACCACTTTACACTCAGAACCTGGCATACTTACTGGCTCGTGTATATTTTTGTTGAAGAGTGTATTAAAATACCGTTATTTGTAGAACATTTAGAGGAAAAAATGAGTCGTTTGATCAATTGAATTGGTTAGTCTAGATAACCTCAGTCTAAAAGTTGTTTTCTGTGCTTATTTGTTGAAGGTGGTCTGGGAAGCGTGTAGAAGTCAGTCAACAAATGTTTTAAAGTAAATGTATTGAATGATTGAAGCAAATAAGTTATTGCCAGTAAAAAAGGGTGAGGAAGATATGAAATTGTGAGAGAGAGATTAGTCCATAACTTTGAAGTTTGAAGAAACTGGTAGGTACTCACCTTAGGTTTGCAAATACCTCAGATAATTGGGAAATATTTCCTTCTTTAGTGCTTTAAATAACATGAATTGTCTTCTGACCAGAGAAACAGCCTGCTTCCAAAGCTCACTCTGTGCTTCACGCTGGCTTTGCAGACATAGAGCGTTGTGTAAACTTCCACATATGTCGTGTTTAATGTTGTTGTTTTTTTTTTTTTTGCGGTACGCGGGCCCCTCACTGTTGTGGCCTCTCCCGTTGCGGAGCACAGGCTCCGGACGCGCAGGCTCAGCGGCCACGACTCACGGCCCAGCCGCTCCGCGGCATGTGGGATCCTCCTTGACCGGGGCACGAACCCGTGTCCCCTGCATCGGCAGGCGGACTCTCAACCACTGCGCAACCAGGGAAGCCCTAACGTCATGTGTTTTGATGTTTGTCTCCTGATGGCTTTTTCTGTGAAGAATTGGTCTCAGACCAGCATGAAGCCTGTGTTCTTGTGCTGCTTTCTGTTACTCTTTCCATTTCCATCACTGTGAAACCAAATAGTTTTATGAACAGTGAGAAAGCACATGGACTGCAGCACGCTTTCCACGATGGCAGCATAGCCGGTTGTGTAGGGGGTTTGATATGAAGTGTGTGCTGGCTTCCCAGGTATGGCTCTGATCCCGTTTCACGTTGTTTCTCTGGGGAAGAGCTCCCAGTATTTAGGTAGCTAAGGGTTTTGTTCCCTAGTGTTTGTGTGTTGTGAACAGGGGTCCAGGGTTTGCATATTGTGAGCAGAGCCCGGGGCTTTTGCTCCTTTGCTGCCTGTACAGCTGCTGGTGATTAGCACTATTTCTAGATCAGTGTTTTGGGCTTCAATCGATGTTGCTGGTATTAAAAAAAAAAAAAATGGTTTGGCAAAATAAGCAAGGAGCAAGGTTGAAGAAGTTGTTACAGGACAGAACCAGCCCTGTTAATTTCTGCTTCATTTACACCAAAGGTTGAAAATAAAATCAGTAAGGAAATGCTTTTGGCCTCCTAAGAAGGCATTAAATCAAAGAATAGTGAAGCTAGTTTAAAATGCTCCTTATCAAAAATAGATATCAAAAGAGAGTGAATCCTAAAGCTCCTCTATTTTAACGATATACTTTTGGAATTCATAGTTTTAATGACCTTATTTAAAAGAAGATTGAATTCCTTTGGGTAATTATTAAATGCATGGCTATGGTATTTATATTTCCATTGCTATACTATTGAGGTATTTATGATGGGAGGATTCAATCTCAAGGCATAAGTTTAGCAGAGTCCCCAAAATATTTAAACTGAATTGAACTTACCATAACTATTTTGAATTAATGACCCTCTATGGTACATGAAGGCATTGATATTGTTCTTAGGGAGAGTGAAATCCAACGTTTATTTCAAACTTAACGTGTGCAAAGCTCTTCACTAAGTGCCTTAAACTGATTTAGTTTTTACAACCACCCTAGTGTTTTATACCAAAGATTATTGTGCCCATTATACAGAAACGAAAGCTGAAGCCCAGAGATTCTGGGTATTCTGCCTGAGATTACTCGTATAGACAGAGAGAGAGGGAGAGAAATAGGGCAGATTTAAGATTTGAAATCATGTCTACCTTTTTATATAAGCATTCCTTTTTTATAATACATGGACTTTAATTGTGTTTTTGGACAGATGTTTATGGAACTCATGGAATATCTCCACGAATCTCTTTGGTTAGAATATAGACCGTTTGCAACACCGTTTTTTTTAACAGACTTTATTTTTCAGAGCAGTTTTCAGTTTACAGCAAAATTGGACAGAAGTTAGAGAATTTCCCACGTGCCCCCTGCCCCACATGTGCACAGCTTCCCCACTGTCACCACCCCCATCAGATGGGACATTTGTTACAATTGTAAACCTACACTGACACGTCAGGGTCCCCCAAAGTCCACAGCTCATATTACTTTTTAATAT